TGCTGTCACATTCCTTCTGGTCACCACCATCATTTCTCACCGTTCTACTCAGAATCCTCCCAAGGTTTCCCATTTCATTCAGAGATGAAATCCTTATAATGGCCCAAAACTGTGCTGCCCACCTCCAGGGGCCACACCGTTCACTCAGATCGTAATATGTTGTACCTGGAAGATAGAGCAGCCCCAGAAATGGTCTGCAGGACCTACACAGGCTGCCCCAGTGCTCACCACTTCTGTGACCTTGGCTTTCCTACTGCTTTTCCCTCATTCGCTCTGTTGTAGCCACGCTGGCCTCCTTCCTGATCCTCGAATATACCAGGCCCTCTCCCGCCTCAGGGTCTTTGAGCTCGTCATTACTTTTCCCAGGACAGTCTCCCCCAGATACCTGCTCAGCTCATGTCCTCACCTTAAAGTCTTTGCTCAAAAGTCACCTCGGTGTACTGACCACCCTTATTAAAATACCACCCTCACCTCCACCCTGGCACTCCCTGTCTGCCTTTATCTGTGCTATTTTTTCCATAGTAATCATCTTCCAACAGCCAACAGTATCTCATTTATTTATGTTTTTCTCCTCCAGCTGGAATATAAGCTGTACTAGGATGGAGATTACTGTCTGTTTTGTTCAATGAAAGAACAAACCCCGTGAAAACATATTGTTCTTTGTAAATATGGTTTTAGATTCAAAGAGATTAAGCAACTTGCTCAAAGTCATACAACCGATAGATGGTATAGCTAGGATATTTATACTTTCTGACATGAAAGACCTGTGTTCTTGACTGCTGAAAGTACTTCTTTCCAAGGCTATGCAGAATAAGAGGTCGAAACGTAGTCTAGAAGTGAGTCTTACAAGGCTGAGGAGTCAGAAGGTAGAGTTGCTAACAGAGTAGCTGCAAATTCTGGGGGAAGCGGGTTCTGGAACGAAGAGAAACAGAGGTGAGGTAGTTCAGAAATCCATATACATCGACCGGCTTCTCACAGCGAGTGCCTGGGGCGAGACCTGAGTACTGGTACCTGGAAGAGCCAAGCAAAGGTTTCAGCAGCCGCCACCACAGGGGAGACAGAGTTTGGAGTTGAGTTCCTCTCAAGGTACAGAGACTGGGTAAACAGCACCAGATTTTCACCATAATTCTAGAAGAGCCATACCATAGGAGTAAGAATCAAAAATAAATAATAGTAGTAAATTTTAACCCATTAAGTAAAATGGGAAACTGTGAGTCCATTCAGATGTAAATAAATTGAGTGTGTGATTTGGGTTGGGGTAGTCCATAGTTCCAAAATACCTCTCAAAGATTACTAATTATAAAGGCGAAATAGGTAACTTTATGGTAGCAAAGCCAAGGAAACCTACCTAACTCTAATGATCAAAGCGAAAGTCAGCATTAGGATGAACTGAAATCGCGCTCCACCTGAGAGGCTGCACCAGGAACTTAGTGTCGCTTCCGTGATTTTCCTCCCAGCGACGCACACCTGCGTGTGATCATGGAGGAACGTGGGACGAAGTCAAATCGTGGGACCGTCCACAAAATACCAGGCCTGTACTCTTCAAAGTGTCAAGGTTGTGGAAGTCAGGAAAGACCAAGGAATTATTACAAATTGAAGAAAGTAAATGTATGAACTAAAGTTAACATTTAATTCAGAGCTGGAACTTTGTGCCATAAAAGACATTTTATGAACAACTAGGGTTGAATTAAGGGTTGAGGACTAGATGATCATAATACATTCATGTTAATTTCTTGATTTTTAAATGATTATGTTGTGGTATGAAATACTAATGAAAGTATACATGAGTGATGGGATATCAAGTTGACAACTTAGATGGTTCATGAAAAAAGTTTTATGTATTATACTTATTTTCTGTAAATTTGTAATTATTTCAAAATAAAAATGAAAAAGATATATTTCTGTCTACTAGCATCAAACAACTAGAAAATGACATTTAAAAATATTCTTTACAGTATGATTTGTTTTCACATAAAATACTTAGAAATTTTACTCTGTAAAATACGTTGCTGAGAGAAATTAAAACTTGATTAATAGAGAGGTATACCATATTCATGGGTTGGAAAACTCAATATTGTTAACATGTCAATTCTCCCTAAATTGAACTATAGATGCAAAACTGTCCGAATTAAAATCCAACCATGAATTTTTGTAAGCCAACTCTAAAATTCCTATGTAAAAATGAAAGAGCTAGAGTGGCCCATCTAGTCTTAAAGAAGGCTTAAATGATCTGATTTCATACTTACTATAAAGGCACAGTAATCAAGACAGTATGAGACATATCGGTCAGTGGAGTAGAATAGGGGCTCCAGAAATAGACTCACACTTATGTGGTCGTTTGATTTTTGACAAATGCGACAGAGCAACTTCATGGGGAAAGAAGTCAGTGCTGGGACAACTGGATAGCTATATGGAAAAAAGTGACTCTCAACCTTCACTTTGCTCTGTACCCAAATATGAATTCAAATGGATAGCTGGTTTGCCAGAGCACCAGAAAAATAGTCAACTGTGAAGAACCCTTCTGAGATCAGAACAAGCCTCACACACTGGCCTCAAAAACTAGCCTTGAAGGAGCCCGAATTTATTGGATCAGACTGTGGAGTAATTTATGCCCCAGGGCATGATCAAAAATAATAGCACGATCAGCTAGCAGTTAGTGGAGCCCACCAGCTGGGTGTAATATCAGCAGAGGCAGACAGCTTAACAGGTCCGGGAAAGAGCCAGAGAGCCCCGCTAGAGCCATCGTGGGAATGCGACACCGAAGGCTCGTGCTGCAGATACAACAGGCCTTACTAGAATAGTCAAGCCAAGTTATGAAATGGAGAATGAAGAAATAACAGCAAAAACAAGCCTGGGGTGGGGCCGGGTGTGGAATTAGCTCATCACTCGAATCCAGCAGAAAAAATGAAAACCAAAAAATGGTAAATAGGAAGGTTGATATGGCAAACTATAAATATATACTTGCTCTCCTCTCAGCTTCTTCCAGACATAGTATAAAGTAATAGTTATAATACATTGTCGAGTTTGTAACATACATTGTTGTACTATGTATTAACAGTAGTAGCATAAAAGCGGGGAAGAGAGAATAGAGCTATATAGGGGTAATGTTTTGTATATCACTGGAATTGGTATAAATCTGAAGCTGTTTCTGATGAGTTAATGTATATATGGTAAGTCGTAGAACAACCACTGAGAAACTAACTCAAAAAAATGAAGTGAAATTTATTAAAGGGATTAAAGTGTACCCGAGCAACTAGAGAAATGGAGTCGGTATTACCTGAGATGGGGAAGGCTGCAGGAAGAATAACAATTATAATAATTTATAGTAGCTATTATTCCCACTGTATAAACTGAAGCTGGGAGAGAATTTGCTCTAGGCAGGACACAGTGGCACTCTGGTCTAGGCCAGGTCTACTGATCACAAAGCCCAGTCCTTTGGACTATGCCCCGTTGCCTCAAAGACCTTGCCTTTGCGTTTCAGGGTAATTTTTTCAAAGACTCTAATATTCCAATATAAAGAATTTGTGTTTAATAATGTAATAGCATCTATTGAGTGCTAGTAAGTACAATGATAAACAAGAAGTGATCAACTGTACTGGAGTGGTTATTGAAGATGAGCTAATTAAGTAGGACATTCAAGGATGTGTAGGAGTTTGTCAGTTGGTCAGCTGACCGACGGGTGTCTATTTTTGTGTCATGACTATGGAAACCATTTATGCATAAATATCAGTATTAGATGTAAGTAAATAGCTCCTTAAAGG